TAGTACTATTTAAACTGAGCCATGATCCCAACCCAAGAAAACTCGATGAAGTGGGTGAGTAACCTGAGTTAGTGTTTTGGGTAGCCCATGTGAGTCTTTCGAGGCCCACATTAAGGATCGGGAGGCATCAATATGAGTGAAATTTATTAAGCGGCGTGAAAGGTTGTCAATTGGAGACAAGTAACATGATATGAACAGACATAGATTAATTAGTCTTTATTTATTTGTGTCTTAGTTTTACTTGGTGGGATAAATTTTTTCTAGGTTTCAAGTTTTAGTTTTACTACTATACTATTGATATATGTTATAAAAATAAGTTAAATTGAAATATTATATTTAAAACTAAATTCAATTCATGGTAAAAGATAAATACAAACTACAAAGCAGGCCTAAATGCCTAATAGGAAGAAGAAATACATTCAAGAAAATGATTGTGTGTGGAGAGGGAGAGAGAGAGGGTTAACAATAATTTTGGGGATAGAAACTTATTATTATTATTATTATTATTATTATTGTTATTATTATTACGGTATATGTGTGTGTGTCCAGAAAATGTTGACTAATAACAATATTAATAGGGTCAGACTTTTGTAAGGCAGGACATGAAATGCGATAACGAATAGACATGAGATTCGTTTCACTTGGCCATACACATTTTAATAAAAAAATAAAAAATGTGTCTAATGTTTTACTTGTTTTATCCAAGAAAAAAAAACTTGATTTATTTAATTAATTTATTTATTTAAAGGAAGAGAATGGAGCACAAGCCCAAAAGCCCACGAGCAGAAATGGACGGGGTTATGCGGGATTGAGGGGAGGTGAAAAGAACAAAATCAAGAGCCAGTTAATTAAGATTAAAGAAGGATGGCCCACACGAAACAAAACAACGTTGTAGGAAAACGACGGCGTCCGCCCACTGTTCTCAGTTTTCACATAATCATCATGCTCCTTCACCTTCAACTCTAATCGTCAGCGTCTCTGTCACATATTCGGCGGCCGGCTGCCCCATTTGTGCTTTATTTGAGATCTGCAAAAACCAATAAAAGTTAATTCAATTAGTAAAATAAAGAGTTAGTCCATAGCTCATAAGATTATGTGTACTGTATGATTTATACTACCTTTGGTTCTTAATATAAGAGTTCAATAATTGATTTGAAGAGATTAAAAACATTAGTTAAATTAGTTATTTATAACAAATGTGTGTTGATTTACCAGAATTGCACTTGGTTGAAAATACTTTACAATCAATAGGGATATTTTTTAGAACACAGTACAAATTTGAAAAACAAAGTAAATTTGGATCTTATATTTAGGAATGCCAACTAACTATTATATTTAGGATCGGAGGTTGTATGTGAATATTGTCATTTTTAGGATTACATAAATATACTTTTACATATTTTAATTAAATTTTATTATTTTAATTATGATTGGGTTAATTTGAATCTAATCACGGTTACACTAGTGATGCCTGAACTATTGTCGTGATAAGTTTAATTATCATGTTTTGACTTTCGATACCTTACTAAATAGGGCAAAACAATAGTAATAAATATCCAATTTCCAAAATTAGAACCAAACACAATTCGCACGTCCTTTTATGATCACTCATGCGTGACATTCAGCTCATGTTAATTAAACTTTTTTGTTTTGGTTCCGGCAAGATATTAAACATATTGTCATCATGTATTGCAATTTTTTCCTTGAAAATAAAATTTCATTTTGCAATCAGAAATGTGTATTACCATTAAATTATTAGTAGACTCAGATTATATATACAACATGAAATTAAAGTGCACCACTCTGATCTTTATTATAAGAATATAAGTTACTTGTGCAAGAGATTTTTGGTCCTAAATACATGGCTAACTTGTAGGCAATTTAATGATTATTCTTCAATTTTACTTTTATTTCATTCTCTTTGGAAAGAAAAATAGAGAAAAGAAAAAGGTGAGGATCACTTGTAAATGCAACAAGAGAAAAAACTTTGCTAAAAATAAATTTAATTTTTTTTTATCAATTTAACACATTTATTAATATGCGAGAATGAGTTACAAACGAGTGAAATGACTTATAATAAAAACCACTCTAATTAATAACTTTTTATAGGTTTCAAGTCCATAATTAAGAAAAAGAAAAAACACTCACGCATATGACTATTTAAGTATGAAACATATTGTTATTATTATTTTTATCTAAAATGGAAGAGATCATTTAGATGACCAGAATGCGTGTGCTATTAAAGCAGATAATGGGGGGAAAAAAAAAGTTACGTTTCTCATTTTACACACATAAACTGAATATCTTTTGGCAAATTGCTTGATATTAAGAAGTTAAAAAATTATCCATGCAACCCAAATTTTTTACTGAAAATAAAAGGTAGATTAAATTTTATTTAATATTTTCCCCTTAATTGTTTCGTAAAAAAAATTGCAAAGAACATTTAGCTTATAACATAGTCTTTGGATTTTCGAATATTTTATAAAGCACTGTACCTTATAAGATTGATCAATCTCATTTGATGACCGTCACTTATATAAATAGTTAAATGCTTATAATATATAAAAATTTTAAAAAATAGATTAAAACTATGAGTGTGACGAAAGATAGAGGCATGCAAAATAGTAACGAAAGGTTGATCCTATTTATAATTATTACTCCCTCTTGTTTTTATAATAAGAATCCACTAATTAATTTGCATGTAACAATAAACTTGTTAAAAGAATTAAATTTATCTAAAATTTAAGTGATTTCTAATATTAGTCTAATTAATTACACTAGATTCCTATATCATATTATTTTTTTTTTATTCTCATTAAATATGCGCATATATAAAAAATTATTTTTTTATTAAAATTATCAAAGGATCTTATAAAAATGATCAAGTATTTTTTTAGAAAGGTTCATATAACAAGAACCGGACGGAGTATGTTTTTAGGCATGCTTCTTCATTGAGAAATATATCAAAGGCAAGGGGTTAATTTACTGGAAAATATTTTACATATCATTATAATTATAATTTAATTTATTGTTAAATCAGGATTTTATACCTTTTTTTTTGACCTTGCAGGATTTTATACTTTACTTTTTTGAACTGAGTCTTTTTTTTTTCGGCCAATGAACTGAGTGTTTATCATTTGATCTGATAATTTTAATTTATAAAATCCATGAAATTTTATTTACACACAAGGGTGAACATCAATAATTAATTAAATTATAATTTCTTAATTTAAACAAAATAAACTACGTCAATTTAATTTAAAATTGTTGTAAATTATAAGAATTAATGGATCAATTTTTGAAAAAATTCTAATAAAAGTTATTTTAAAATTCAAAATCTCAAAAAGGTCACACCAACTGCAAACATTTCAAATCAACACCCGTGGCCCACATTTTGAAATGTGGGTGTCTTTACAATTTTACTTCTTATTTTAAAGATTAAAAAGGGAAATAGCGAGAAAGATTAAAAAATAAAAAATATTTTTTTCCAATCATTTTTGGCTATTTAGTTGTAACTGAAATATTTTAAGGCATATTGAAGCAAACAACAATAACTGAAATGATAACCTAAAAAAAATAAAAACAGAATTAATCAAATTGAAAAGATCGAAATGAGTTTGGTTCAGTTCGGTGTTCAATTCCGGTTCAGTTATACTCACCCTTTATAACTATTAGTAGGTTATTGGAGTTTCAGCATTAGTGACATGAGAGGTGAGAACGGTTGACACTATTTTTTTAATTTTTATTTTTAAAATAAGAGGTAAGATTATAAAAATACCAACATTTTAATCTTTTTGGTTATGCGTATTGATTTGAAATTTTTGAACTTGGGGTGCGGCTTTTTGGGATTTTGAATGTCAACATTTTATTAGAATTTTTCCTAATTTGTTTATAAACCATTCTTATTGCAATTATTGCCACGTCATCACACACACTAATCGCGTATCGGATATTTTGATTGGATCACGTGATATGATGCTTTGGCATGATGGAGTCGAATTCTCACCCCCCCTTCCCACACAAACAATGTTTTTCCTTCATTATTATGTTTTTTTTTTCATATGTTATACTTGATATAAAAATGAGTTGCTTATTGAAAAGGAAAAATTATAACAATTTAAACAAAACGTATAGCATTTGGTCCCAAAAAAAGAATATAGCAAAATTATAGAAGTTTTCATATTAATTTTCAATAAAAACATTGCTTGTTTATAAAAACATGGTATATAATACCTATAATTTTACATTATTATAAATTAATTTTTTAATTGGATCCTTATAATTTCTTCATCTATATATATATATATATATATATATATAGTAATGTATATATTCATAATTTGTCAATTTATAAAAGAAACAACGTCAGTGGCTAATATTTTCTTAGGGTCATTCTTGTTATAAGGACTGAGAAATTAATTTCCTTAAAATAATAAGTCAAAAAATATAAAATCCCATGCCTAAATTATTAAAAGAATTGCATTATACTTCATCTTTTCACATGAAAAATTGGCAATAAATTACCATAAAGTTATTTAAAATTTTTTTGATAACTATATTTTCATTTTCATTCATTAGAGGATTTCTAAAATGAAATAGAATTATTCTCATCTCTTTTTGACCAGATTATTCTCATCTCTTAATTCTTATTACAAATAAAAGCTATTACCAAATGCCATACTAAATATAAGTACTGTGAATGTTATACAATAACAATTCATACTAAAAAATTTGGGGTCTATTTTGATCTTTTTTCCCAATATGAAAAATTCTCATTCTAAAATAGTGCCCGTAATTGTGATTCAAATTTATTTTCTTTTTTTAAAACAAAAAAATTGGATAAATAGCCACACAACGCAAGTGGCTTGGCTTTAATTTTAAATTAAATCACATCAAATTGGCGATTCATCAGATTCTGAAAAAAAGTAAAAAAAATTCCAAAAAAAGAAGAGTCACGCCATAGCACTGCCACCACACGTCCACACCAACGCCGTTTGGGAGTGCGTGTGAGTGAGCTGTTGATGAACGTGAAGGAGCAATTTTAAACGCAGAGGAGGAGAAAGGAGGGAGATTAGAAGGTGACCTTAGAATCTAAATTTGGATTTCTTGTTTTTGTTTTTTCCCCCCTTTTTTTGTGTGTTTATTCTTTTTTAGAGAGAGAAGAGAAAGGGGGCGGAGCAGAGAAGGCTAAGAGTGGTGCACATGGGGAGAGGGCAACGAAGAGAGGAGGGAGAAGAAGGGGTCGTCATGTCCACCGACTTCTTCTGGTCCTACACCGACGAGCCCCATGCATCGCGGCGGCGGGAGATCCTCTCTAAGTACCCTCAGATCAAGGAGCTATTTGGTCCAGATCACTGGGCTTTCCACAAGGTTTGTTTCTGTTAATTTTTGCGTTTTTTAATGGCTGGTGTGGATTCGATTCTGCTGGGTATGTCTTTAGTTAGAGATTTGGTGACAATGCGGAAGTTTTAGATAATCTGATTTGAGTGGTTTGTGGTTATATTTCAAATGTGGGTCCGTGTGGATTGTTGGTGTGCTGGAAATTGTGTTTTCTGGCTTTGATTTGAATTTTGGGCATGGATTCTGATGTCATTTTTATCCATTATGTTCATTCCTTTTTTGTGGGATTTCTTGATTTATTCGATGGATCATGAAAGCTTAATGAGGTTTCTCTTACTGGATAAATGGATTTCTTTTCCCTATTAAAAGCAAGCCGGCTGAGATTTAGCTTTCCTATCTGCTTTCTTTTTATGGTTTTTGTGGTTGCTATTCTTTTATCTATCTTTTCCTTGTTACCTTGCATTGAGTTGGTGTTTTCTTTCCACACCCCCCCCCCCGGGGGGGGCGGGGGAAGGCGCCAGGAGAGCTGGTGTTTTCCGATATCTCATTCAGATTGGGACTTTCTGTTTGCTGTCAAAAATCAATGTATACTTTTCTAGATTATTTGGGATTTGAAATGGATTGCTTTTTATCTTGTTGAAATCTTGCTTGTTGGACTGGGTCCCTGTTCTTTGGTCTCGAGTTTCGTGTTCAGCGTTTCTGCACATTTTGTTTATCCCAGAGCCTTTTCTTGGGTTTTTAAATTGCCTTTGTTGCAAAGATGTCTTTACAGTTCTTTTGTGCTGTCTAACTCAACTTGTCGTTCGTTGAGTCGGTGAAAGAAAGAGAGAGGGGCTGATTTGTTTAGTATTTCATTTTATTCCTTGATCAACTCGTGTCAAAAGGAGAAGTCAGGCCTGTCTATTTTTCTATTCCATTTTATTTCTTGACCAACAATTGATGTATAACCTTGCGTTGGAAGTGAGGCATTGATAGGGCTACAATAAATCTTCCCTATTCTCCTCGAACATCTCTCTAGAAATTTCAAGTTGCATAACTGTCAAAATAGTAACTGCCAAGTTTGAGTATTATTGAAGTCATGGTTTCTTTAAACTGGCACTTTCTGTTGTGGCCAAAAGTAGTTCACAAAGTTCCCAAGGGATGCTGGCATGATCTATTATGCTCTTATACTACGAGATTGCTTCAAATATATGACATGATGGTTAAATATTGGTACATCATATCAAGAGAATGATCTGATACGTAATTTATTTGGATGGATAGCCTTTTAGCCTTAAATAAACCTTTTAACTATTGTAGTTATTATCACACCGAGAACATTTTTTATGTGTTTGCAATTGTGGTTTTGCAGATTACAGTGGTAGTTTTGCTTCAGCTTGGTACTGCTGCCTTACTACAAAATGCTGGCTGGCTGAAGATACTTCTGATATCCTACTTTTTTGGTTCATTTCTCAACCACAATCTCTTCTTGGCCATCCATGAGCTCAGCCACAATCTTGCCTTCTCAACTCCAGTGTACAACCGGTGGCTGGGGATTTTCGCTAACCTCCCTATTGGCGTACCGATGTCTGTGACTTTCCAAAAGTATCACTTGGAGCACCATAGATTTCAAGGAGTAGACGGCATTGATATGGATGTCCCTAGCCTCACTGAAGGACGTGTTGTGACCAATATTTATGCAAAAACCATATGGGTTTTTTTACAGCTCTTCTTTTATGCCCTTCGTCCTCTGTTTCTTAAACCGAAACCTCCTGGTTGCTGGGAGTTCATCAACTTCGCTGTTCAGATAGCCCTTGACGTCTCCATGGTTCATTATTTTGGCTGGAAATCATTTGCCTATCTTATTCTCTCTACATTTGTTGGTGGCGGGATGCATCCAATGGCTGGTCACTTCATTTCTGAGCATTATGTCTTCAAACCGGACCAAGAGACATATTCATACTATGGTCCTCTGAATTTTCTCACCTGGCATGTGGGCTATCACAACGAGCACCATGATTTTCCAAGGATTCCCGGGAGCAAGCTTCATAAGGTGAAGGAGATAGCTCCAGAGTATTATGAGGGCTTAGCATCATATAAATCTTGGAGCCAGGTCATTTACATGTACATTATGGACAGATCAGTTGGACCTTTTAGCCGAATGAAGAGAAAACTTCAGAAGGCTGAATAGGTGCTCCTCCCATTCACATTGTTTTTTTTTTTTTTTGGGAAGGTTTTACTTTTTGTATCCCCTTCTTTTCTTTCTCCCTTGAATTTTTCTATGTAGACACTATATTTTGATGGTGTGATAATTATATATGTAATATTTTGAAGCCATCAGGCTGTGCTGTTATTTTTCAGCCTAATAGCAAGTCATTATTTTTTATGCATTCCTCAATTCTTACCTGTTTTGAATTTCAGTTTATTCCGAGTTCTATCTCTCAAGATCTTCTTTTAACGTACGTTCTCAATGGGTATAACGTAACAGTTCTGATTTTGTAGCTTTTTGCCCCCCACTATTATCATGCCGACCAGATTCCTGTTCGTTGATACTCAACTTAATCTTGTATAATGTCTTAATCACCCCAAACCTAAACCAGTTAAGTCTCCGTGCATTACGTGAATTAGAGGAATAAATCTTACTATTGATAATTTGAAGGAAACATTAATTCCTTCCGACTTAAACCCTGAATCAGCATACACATGATTAAAATTGCCACATGAGCTAAAAGAGGGGAAAAAGGGGGAAAGCCATGTAAAAGATGGTTATGAGGATGAAAAATAGCCTCCAATTCTTACCATAAAATCATTAAAAAACTGTTAGTAGTTATAAACTTGTAATGACATAATAAATATTCCAAAATTTATATGCACACGCAGAATGTAGTTACACAGAGCAATTTTGTTGGCCAAAAAAAAAAGTTACAGAGAGCAATTTTGTATGGGCTACCTACTTTTTGTGTTAATATTATGCACTGTGTGCAAATAATGGCAAGCATAAAAACCAATTCATGGTCTCTAAATGAAAGCATTAAGATATTTTTTGAGCAGACTGATCAATAACATCATGACGAGATGATTAAATGTATTCTCAAGAATCTTATTAAAAAGGATAATAAACATAGTTACACGTCTCTTTAAATTGCGGAATTTAATTTATTAATTTATTATTTTTTCTTAGAATAAGTGCAGATAAAATATGAAGACAGACTAGAATACCGTTCATAATTTAACTTGTTCAGCCTTTTTTATATCAGATTGACCCGCTGTTTCTCCAACAGCTTGAGCAGCTAAGAGGAATGCTTCAAAAGTAAGTGACACACTTTGGATTCCTTCATACCAGTTGTCTGAAGCACCACTCGCAGAAATCAGAATCCACTTGTTTTTTGCCACCAAGTATAGAGACAATACACAGCCTATTTAGTAAGATAATACTTGTTGTTATTGATTAAAGTAGATTTAGCTAAATTAACCATTTGTCAAAAGCTAATGCTTTTGAGTAGGTGGAGTCCAAGTAATTTTGGAAGCAATTCTAATTTATGATAATTCACTATTGACAATTATTTGCAAAATCTCCTGTTTTGAGTCATTTCGTCGTATTCATTCGCAATCGTTCGGTTCAATTTGTAAATATGACACTCACATATTAAACAATTAACCCAAAATTTGATCACCACATAACTAAGCTATATGGTTAATTTAAAAAATGAATTGAAATAATCCCGGACATCTTTATGACCAAGTAACAAGGAATTTGAATTCATCTGACTCATGCTTAGCTATCTGAAATAGGCGGGGGAAGAACAAAATGTAAAAGCCAAACCTAAGTAGGTGAACCACGCTGGATGTTGCTGTGGTGTAGTGGTTATCACGTCAGTCTTACATAGTGGAGGTCCCCAGTTTTGGGAAAATTGAAATTATCTTAGTTAAGTAATGAAAAACTAGCCGGGGAACCACGTCGTCGAGGTTGCTGTGGTGTAGTGGTTATCACGTCAGTCTTACACACTGAAGGTCCCCAGTTCGATCCTGGGCAGCAACACAATGGAATTACTCCCTCCGTTCCTTATTATAAGAGACATTTGATGCTTATGGCATGTTCCTATATATAAGAGACACTTACAAGTTGTCTCTACTTTTTTTGTGTTGATTTACTATTTTACCCATATTTATTATCTCCAACTCACACTCTTTCTCCCTCCCACTTCTTTTTCTTTTAATAATTTAATTGTTCTCTCTCATGCTCTCTCTCCTTATTAATGAGGGCATTTTTGGAAAAAAAATTATACTTTTTACACATTAATTATTCTTAACTAATTTTAACTGTTTTTTTGATCAACGTACTTCGGTTATTTGTCTCTTATAATAAGGAACGGAGGGAGTATTATTTAATTTTTTTAATTATCTTTTTTAATAAATTGAAATTTGTCTCAACTCTCAACTCATAGTGTGCCTTGCCGTGGGGCCTAGAGGTTGCTGCGGTTTTATTATTTGAGTATTCAACGAATAAATTTACTACTTACCATACGTATTTAACCATAAATGTATGATGAATGAGAAAAAAAGATGTAAACTCGTGCATATTATATGCAATTCCGTCACTTTACATCTCTGTAAGCTTTCCATTTCATCAACCATATCTCATTTTGCATTCATATTTCTATGACATTTTTCATTTCTCCCAGATCACCCCCCATTTGTCTTTACTTCGCCCACAGAGATGTGATTGCAAACAATTGGATCCTCCCAGTATAGACTTGAAAGATCCAAATCTGGAAATTTCTCTAACAAAAACTCTCTTTTATCAATATTAATATTACCCAAAACTTCAGATGTCATTTTGTTTTAATCAAGATTTCGAGTTATCACAATTTAAAATTTTCTTTTCTAACCAACACATGCATCTTTCGGCCTGTCCTGCAGACGCGTTTTTCTTATCTACTATGCAAGTCTCACCAAGACATTGAAATTTTCAAGAATATTTTACACAATAAAAAACCAAATGAAGTAGAGCCAAAATACATAAGATGACACTTCTACTCAGAGTGAACATCTGCTGAAAAATCCACTTGTAGGCAATGGTCATCAAAATTGTGATTCTTGAAAATCTGGCGAAGCTTCTCAGCCCCATCAATTTTCTTTTCTTCGTAGAAGTTCAGAAATGCAAGGATAACTTCCAGTGAAGGACTCCATCCATCATAGTCCTTGGCTTCTGAAAGAGCTGCCTCTAGGTGATGCACTGCAAGCTCTTCCTTACGTTTCCCCAAGTAGAAGAGTATGAAGGTTTCATGAGTCTTCGCGAAAGGTCCTTTGCCCTCCCTCCTTTTGATGGCCTCTTCAAACACCGATAAGGCTTCTTCACATAGGTCCTGGCTCAAGTAGGCACTTATAACAGTTCCCACTAATCTCATATCATAAGAGATACAATTTGATTTCCACTCCTCAAAGCACTTTGCTAAACCTTCAATATCATTAAGCCTGCGAAGGGATTGAAGCATTGTAAGATAGCTCATGTCAGTCACTGAAGGGACAGATTTGAGGTAATTCCATACCCTGTAAACTTCACCTTGATTACCAGTCCCTGCATAAAGACTTAGTAGGTAATGGTAAGCTTCACGCTCCTGCGGTCTTGCTAGCTTTTCTAACATCTTAAGCGCAGATTCAGCTTTCTCAAAAAGTTTAGCCTTTACATAGATAGCAGCAAGGTTGCTATGAGTCAGCCAGTTGATTTTGTCTGCATCTTCCTTTTTCATCTCCTCAAAGACTCTTTCTGCTCCTTCAATATCATTTAAGGAGGCATAGCTATTCATCCAGATATGATATGTAGGAGCAGTCATTGATATTTTCCTCTGCTTCATATTATCTATCAATGGAGGCACCTTCTCAGGTTTGCCCAGTCGCATATATAACCGCATGAGATCACTGAAGGGCAGATCGCTGGTGAGAAAACTGAGTTCATTCATATTTTCAAAAAGAGCCAGTGCCTTGTCTTCCATTAAGCCCCTACAATAGCAATTCAAAAGAGTTCCATATACAAAATTGTTCTTAGCTCGAAGAGGAAGACCATTAAAATAGCTCTCAGCAGCTGCCACCCCTTTAGTTGAGGACACTAGATCTAAATGCAGTGCAAAGTCTGTTGCGGAGAAGGCCGTTCCCCTAACTTTTAACCATTCCATTATCTGCATTGAAAGAACTCATCAAAGATTCGTTGTCTTCAGATAACACGTACACAACAATCAGCTCAGAGAAAGGGGTACTAATAACTTACTCCCTCCGATCCTCCATATAATTAACATTCTCTTATGTAAAGTTGGTCCTGTATATAACAGTAACACTTTATCTGAAAATTTCAATTTTACCCCAGTTGATTACATGTATTTCTCATTTATTTTTGCAGCCATCTCTTTTTCCACTCATTCTCTTTCTCACTCATAATTTTCATAAATAAAAGTATACATCTCTTACACATAAGATCCAGGGTTAGTTATGCTTCCATGAGATCTCCTTTACAATGATCAAAATTACTAACTTCCGTTATTCATTCAATGAGTCATTTACCGTTAAGTTTCGGGCGTTCATATCCCCAGCATCAATGCAAAATTTAATTACCACCGATTCTACTAGAATAAAAAAACAAATTAAGTTAGTTATTTATAACAAGTATTTGTAATTCTTATCTTTCTTAAAATATCTTTAATAATGACCACATTGTACCTTATACTCCTCCGGTCCTTATTATAAGACCCAATTTGACTTTTTATTTGGTCCTAATTATAAGACCCCAATCCATTTTATCTCTTATATTTATGCATTTTTTTCCAAGATAATCCTTCTAATAATGATAGTTTTAGTCAATATACTTAATTAGCAATGATATTTTAGAAATGACAACACTTATTTATTATAAATAACCAACTTAACTTACTTCCTTAATCTCCTCAAATAAATCAATTGGGTCTTATAATTAGGACCGGAGGAGTATTTCATAAAAGTCAAACGAGTAGTATTTTAAATGTCAAGCATGGTCGCCACCAACACCCCACTTCAAACCTCCCGTGAAAAACTCCTGAGGCAATCACAGATCAACACAGCTACATTCGCAGAGGGAACTCAGAGAGATGAGGGGGGGAAAAAAAAAGCAGAAGCAGAGAGCCAGAAACCTCGAGTGCATTTCGATAATGACGATACTTTCGGAGCTCCCTTACGCAACGTTGGAGTTCGTCTTTCCTGAGGACGTGGCCTTCAAGAATATACTGATCTAACGTCTGCGAAACGGTCCTTCCAGTCATATTCACGGCCGACAACTTTCGATAAAGCCTAACATCATTTGCTGAACGCTTGGCCTCCGGTTGCCCTAGCCTCGTCGCCGCCGTACACAACTGCCGGAGCATCCGCCCTCCGCCGGAAATCAAACGGCCACAATTCATCTTCATCGAATTTAATTAGGGTTTACGGCAGCTGTACGACAACCAAAACCCCTCAGCTTGTATCCACTGTGCGCAGATTAGCGAGAAGCGGAACAAGTGAACAGCACACTCGTTTTCTTCGGTTTTTTTGGGACATTCACATTTTTTGGCACAAAAATAATTTTGATTAAAACATTAAAAAAATACATAAATTTTGGAGAAAATCTCATATAAGTACATATTCAATTCTAAAATTTTAAATAAGTCATTTTAATTTCACAAAAAATAAATTTATAAATATTAAATTGGAATTTGTGAATTTTGACAAATTAATTACACGCCTTTCCTCTCATGCCTATCACGCTCTCTCTCCTTCCTTCTAATAGTCCACCACTACAGACCTTGTCTGCCATTGTTAACAGACAACCTGAGTAGATCCTGAAAACTCTGTCCTCCATAAATTTCGTTGGAGAAGCAGGTGCAGTAGCAGAAAGAGCCATTGAGTGGAGAAATGTGCTGAAAATTGACACAGAGATGGGGAAGTCTCCGGGAGTTGCTGTGAGAAACTGAGGAGGAAAGGAACCAAATGCGAAAATCTCAGGCACCTTAAGGAAGAACTCAAATAACAAGCTCCAGTGAAGTCGTTTGAAGAGAGATATGCTGGATTAATTTTGATCGTTAACTTGTAATTTGAATATATATAATATAACTTTTGTCATATGCGTTTTAGTTTTTGATAAATATTCTCACATTAGTTGTTAATTCTATTACATGTATAGTAAATTATAAAAATTACTGTTATTATGTTTATTATGATATTCTTTAGATGTATTAGTATGCTAATTTGCCGACACACTTTGGCCTTTGTTTAATTTTCCCCCAGACTTGGTGGGAATTAACTATGTGAATAGTATGAAAATGGTTAAATGTTTAGGAATAAATTACAAAAAGCTTTATTGAAATAGTTACTTACATCAGGTAAATTGTCATTTTGGCACTTGTTTGGTAAAATACTATGCAAATGACTAAAAATAGTTTGTAAAAATTATTATGTATTTAGTAACTTTCATTACACAGGTTATTATTCCTATTACATGCTTAGTAAATTATTTACAAATAGACTAAAATTGGGTAAACTTGTTGCAAATTTCCTAATGGAAATAGTAACTTGTATTACACAAGTTGTTATTTCTATTACTTGTTTTGTAAAATAATATGTGAATTATTTAAAACATGTTGCAAAAATCGTCATGCAACTAATATAATTTTCATTATACAAGTTATTATTTTTGTTACATGTTTAGTAAAATTGTCTTCAAATGAATTATAATTGGGTTGCAAATAAATAAGTTACAAATTCCCAAATAGAAATAATTACTTACATTATGTAAGTTGTTATTTTCATTGCTTGTTTTGTAAAATAATACGCGAATGAATTAAAACAGGTTGTAAAAACTATTATGAAACTAGTAACTTTTATTATGCAAATTGAATGAATCCTTGGTTGAATAAAAGAAAGGGCATGAAGGCAATTTGTCAAAATTTACAAATCTCAATTTAATACATATAGATCTATTTGTCCTTTGTGAAATCAGAATGACTTATTTGGGATTTTAGATTCAATAGGTATTTATATGGAATTTTTCTTAATTTTTTTTAGTTTCGTACTGCTTTACCTCATAAACCCCAAAAAAAAAAAAACACAAGAGCTCAATTAAGGTCAAAAATAGTACTCCATCTAAAATATATTATAGAAAAAATCTAAAAAAAAAGAAAACTTTTGAATTTCAAAATTTCAAATTCGTATTGTTCATTACACTTCAATAATAATTAACAACATTTCAAAAACAAATGATAACACATTTTTGTAGTCATTCTTAATTTGATATTTTGAAATTCTAGAGATTTTTTTTTGGGGTTTTTCTCTACATTATAAGAAGAAAACTATTGTAAAGTTTTAAAAAATTTAATCATTTAATTTTTGAACTCTTAACTTGATTCTGTATGTAGAGAAAATTATTATGTCATCACAAGAAAGAAATATAATTACAAAAAGTTTAATAATTATTTTTAAAATGTCAACTCTCATGCTATTTATTATACAAATATCACATCTTATCTATTATTCATTTATTCTTATTTATAAGGTACTTTTAGTATATTTCACACAGAAAAAAATCCTTAAACCTCAGTTTCACAGATTTCAAGGCACAACTGCAGTTCTAAACTGCAATCCAAACATGCCCTAAATTTAATACATATTTTATGTATTTAACCATAAATGTATAATGAATTGAAAAAGAAGAAGTAAACTTGTGCATAGATTTCTATAAAACCCTGTCACTTTACATAATACGTATTGCTGCAGAGTGCAGGGGACTAGCTAGATGCAAGTCAGAGACACAATAGAATTATGTTCAGCACTTTAGCATACGATTTTTGCTTTGTAAGCTTTACATTTCATCAACCATATCTAATTTTGCATTCATATTTCCATGACATTTTTCATTTCTCCCAGATCATGCTCCATTTGTCTTTACTTCTCTCACAGATTTGATCGCTAACAATTGGATCCTCCCAGTATAGATCTTGGAAGATCCAAATTTGTAAATTTCACATTTTTATCATTATTACTCTACCATCATACAAAATTGCAAATCTCACTTTGTTTTAATAAATATTTCAAGTGATCACAATTTAAAATTTTCTTTTCTACACAACACATGCATCTTTTGGTTTGTCTTATATAGAGATTTTCCTTATTTCCTACACAAGTCTCAGAGAGACATCAAGGAAGTGTTTGGTAACTTTCAAAAATATTTCTTAGAAGTACTTTTTTCATAAAACGAGACAAATTTCTCTATATATTTATTTCGTAAACCGTAAAAACACTTTTAAAACTATGATTTGGTTTCTATTCAAATACCCCTAAAACAAACGTTCATATATTAAAAATGGTCAAGCATTGCAACAAGAATACAAGCCTTGAAATTTTCAAGATTAATTTACACAATCAAAAACAAATGAAAATCAACGTTGAGCCTTCAGTTTTCCTTTTCTTTTTTAAACAAAAAAAAACATTCAGAAGGCTTGTACTTAAAATCATTAGCCAAGCTTCATCTCATCTTTGCTACTCGAACTATCTCCAGCGGTGCCTTCAGCTGATTTTTCGCACACTACTTCGGCGGACCTTTTTTTTTTCTTCCCTAAATCAGAATTGAAGCATTGACTAATTCATCCGCATCATGATCGAGTTCGGCAATTCAGTCAATTTATTACTAGGTGAAGAAGTAGAGCCAAAACATGTGTGATGACACTTGTACACAGAGCGAACATCAGCTGGCAAGTCCACGAGTCCCGGGCTTATTTCAGCCTCTTCCTTCAATATTTGATGAGTTCCAGTCTCCCAGAGCTGATTTGTCAGCATTTGTATAATTTCTCAGGCAATGATCATCGAAATTGCAATTCTTGAAAATCTGGCGAAGCTTCTCAACCCCATCAATTTTCTTCTCTTCGTAAAACTTCAGAAATGCAAGGATAACTTCCAGTGAAGGACTCCATCCATCATAGTCCTTGGCTTCTGAAAGAGCTGCCTCTAGGTGATGCATTGCAAGTTCTTCCTTATGTTTCCCCAAGTAGAAGAGTATGAAGGTTTCATGAGTCTTCGCGAAAGGTCCTTTGCCCTCTCTCCTTTTGATGGCCTCTTCAAACACCGATAAGGCTTCTTCACATAGGTCCTGGCTCAAGTAGGCACTGATAACAGCACCCGCTAATCTCATATCATAAGAGATACAATTTGATTTCCACTCCTCAAAGCACTTTGCTAAACCTTCAATATCATTAAGCCTGCGAAGGGATTGAAGCATAGTAAGATAGCTCATGTTAGTCACTGGAGGGACAGATTTGAGGTAATTCCATACCCTGTAAACTTCACCTTGATTACCAATCCCTGCATAAAGACTTAGTAGGAAATGGTAAGCTTCACGCTCCTTCGGTCTTGCTATCTTTTCTACCATCTTAAGCGCAGATTCAGCTTTATCAAAATGTTTAGCCTTTACATAGATAGCAGCAAGGTTGCTATGAGTCAGCCAGTTGATTTTGTCTGCATCTTCCTTTTTCATCTCCTCAAAGACTCTTTCTGCTCCTTCAATATCATTTAAGGAGGCATAGCTATTCATCCAGATATGATATGCAGGAGCAGTCATTGAAATTTTCCTCTGCTTCATGGTATCTATCAGGGGAGGCACCTTCTCAGGTTTGCCCAGTCTCATATATAAACACATGAGATTACTGAAGGGTAGATCGCTAGTGACAAAATTGAGTTCATCCATATTTTCAAAAAGAGCCAGTGCCTTGTCCTCCAGTAAGCCTCTGCAATAGCAATTCAAAAGAGTTCCATACGTAAATCTGCTCTTAGATCGAGGAGGAAGACCACTGAAGTAGCTCTCAGCAGCTGCTACCCCTTTGGTTAAAGACAATAGATCTAAATATAGTGAAAAGTCTGTTGTAGAGAAGGTGATTCCCCTATATTCCATCCATTCCATTATCTGCATTGAAAGAGCACATCAAAGATTCATTATCTGCGGTTCCAAGATATACACAACAATCAACTCAGAGAAGGGGGTAATAATTTATCTTTCAACCGGCTTAGTTATGTCTCCATGAGATCTCATTTACAATGATCAAAATTACCTTCCGCCCCCCCCCCCCCCCGGGGTTATTCAGTCAATGAGAGTCATTTACTCTAAGCTTCGGGTTTTCATATCGCCAACGGAAACAGAGGGAGGGGGGGGGGGGACTCAGTTTAAATCTCAAACATGATCGCTACCACTTTCACTTCAAACCTCTTGTGAAAAACTCAGAGGTAATGGTAGCATAGGTAATGACCGAACGAGACAGGTAAACATTCGCAGTGGGAACTCAGAGAGGTGAGGGAAAAAAAAAAAAAGGCAGAAGAAGCAACCTCGAGTGCATGACGATATTTACGATACTTTCGAAGCTCTTTAACGCAACGTTGGAGTTCGTCTTTCCTGAGGACTTTGCCCTCCATAATACACTGGTTTAACGTCTGCGAAACGGTCCTTCCTGTCATATCCAGCGCCGACAACTTTCGATAAAGGCTAACTTTCTTTGCCGAACGCTCGGCCTCCGGTTCCGCTAGCTTCGTTGCCGCCGTACACATCTGCCGGAGCAGCCGCTCTCCGCCGGCAATCAAACGTCCACATTTTATCTTCATCGGATTTAGTTAGGGTTTATGATAGCCGTCCGAGAAACAAATTCCCCTCGCCCTCAGCTTGTCTAGTCTGTCTCTGAAGCAGAAGTGCGTTAGTCATCACTGAGTCATTGAAAAATTGAACACTTGGGGTGTGTTTGGTACGAGAGATTTGGAAGGTAGGGGAGGGAAGGAGAGAGATTTTAATCATTTCTTTTTGTTTGGTAACACACAAATTTTAGGAGGGGAGGAAAAAATTTTTAAAATTTCCCCTCCCCTCCCCTCCAAAATTGGGAGGATTTGGAGGGAAAGGGCAATATTTTGTCATATTATGACTATTATACCTATATTTTGTCATGTTGTGACTATTATGTCTATATTTTGTCATGTTATGACCATTATGTCCACGCTTTAAATAAAATAAGAGCAAAATTGTCCATATTAAAATATTTTTTCCTTCCCTCCTCTCTTTTTTTATAAATCCAAACAAGATAATATTAAAATCCTCCCCCTCCCCTCCCCTCCCCTCCCCTCCCCTCCATTAAAATCCCTCCCTTCCCCTTCCTCTCATTGAGCCAAACATACTCTTAGGGTTTGTTTGGTTGGAGGGGAGGGAAAATGAGCCCCTTCCCTCATTTGGTTAAAAATTTTGAAGGAGAGGGGAGCTAAAATGTCCCCTCCCCTCCCTCCTTCCATTTTGACTCCCCTCTAAATTGAAAGTTTTTGGAGGAGAGTCAAATTTTTGGACCATTATACCCTTATAGTTTTTTTTAATATTCTACTTCTACCCATAAAATATATTATTTTAATATTTATTTCAAATAAAAAATATATTATCTTAAGTAGAAAAATAAAAAATATATACATTATTATAATTAAAAATATATTATAAAAAATTATTTAAAAATAAAAAATTATTATATTATAAAATTAGTTGTTTTTTTATAAATATATTATTTATTAAATATATTTTAAAGCTGGAAAAAAAGATAGCCTAAAGAGAATAAAATTTCATTTTTCTTAGAGCATATAAAATTTGTTAATTTGATTAATTTAAATATATTATTATATTAATTAGAATAAAAAAATTACTGTACCAATTTTTGAATACACATATTAACATGATAAGACTAAATTTTTATTAAATTATATGATTTTAATTAAAATGTAAATTAATTTATATAATATATCAATAAAAAACATAAACTAATATGTTAGGGTAAAATAGTAAATTGATTATTACTATTTCTCCCCTCCCCTCCTTGAACCAAACAAGGAATCATTAAATATCCTTCCCTTCCCTCTTTTTTAATCAAACCAAACAAGGTGAGAATGAAACCTTCCCTCTCTTGCCCTACCCCTCACTCCCCTCCCTCCCCTCAAACCAAACAGACCCTTAGGTTTGTGCATTTAACATCTTGAATTATTTTTTCAGATACATCTAATATTCTAAATTATTTTATGGTGCATCCAGTATCTCAAAATATTTTTTAGGGGCTCCTAACACCCTAAAGTATTTTTTTGTCTTGGCATTGGATGTACCAAAAAAGATTTTTGGACGTTGGAAGTGCCTAAAAAAAAAGTTTAAGATGCTAGATGTACTAAAAAATATTTTACGGTACTGGACGCACCTAAAACAATAATTCAGAGTGCTAGATGCATCATAAAATATTTTAGGGTGTTGGATGCACCTGTGAAAATATTTCAGGGTATTGGATGCACCTTAACCCTTGAATAATAATTAAAAAAATTATTAGAGCCGATAATATGGATTAAGTTTACGGGCTCAACCTACCAACGCACCAAGAAGTGATAGGTTGGAGTGATAAAAATCAGGTTCAATTTAAAATAGAACCTTTGAGCTTGTAACTGTTAAAACTAAACTCGCAGCGAACTAACTTGCCAGCCCATTTTATTTTATTTAATATTTTCCTCTCCCTTTAAATATAATTATGTTTACTTCTTTAGTATCTTATCCCATTTTTATTGTTTAAAATTACCGTAATGTATATATCTTTCACTTTATATTATGAATTTTATCTGTGGTAAAGTTAGCTGAGCAAAAAGAAGGCGATTTTACTTTTCAAGCTCAACCAAATAATTTCATATCTTCAGATTATGCTTCAAATCCTATCAATATTAAATGATGTCTCATGGTTGAACACTTAATAGTGATTGTGACAGTTTTTTTGTCATTCTTGATTTGTATTTGTTATGTTTTAATTTGGAATATATGTCTAATCATTTAGGATGATGTATTGTATATGTTTAATATTTTAGAATATTTGGAACTTTAGATTTCATGTTTTATTTGTAATAATTTCTATTTAGATGTTTTATTTTAAGTATTTAGGACTTGGAATATATTTTATTAAAAAAAACAAAAAACAAAATAAAATAAGTGGTGATCCCTACTACCAGAAGTTGGTATTTTTAGGACCAGCTTGTCCGAATAATCAGTTTTCCCGCAGTCACATCGTCAACTTTAAATTACTAGAAGATTAGGAACTACTTCTCTGATCCTATTTATAAGGCAGCGAGAGAAGATTTTTTTGGATCATATTTATAAGTCATTTCATTAAATTTTTATCATGAATATACTATATTGTCCTTCATTTATTATAGTGTAGATAATTATTTTTTTTGAAAGGTGTATATATTAAATAGGGATAAAATTGAAAAGTTACTATATTTTAATAAAGAGTTAGTACAGTTTAAAGTTTTTCTTCGTCTACATGAAACATATTAGAAGTCTTTTATCAATAGAATCAGATGAGTAAGTTATAACTGAGTCAAATATATAAGGATTGGGTTGTATCAACTTAAATTTGAGAGACTGGTTATAAATGAGTAAAAAATACAAAGATTAAAAGATGAATTTTTTTTTTCCTTTTCTTTCTTCCCTTTCGAGGCCTTTTTCCGTCATCAATTTTTAGGGTAAAATGGTACAATATTCCCAAATATAATTTACTTCTAACAAATTCAAAAATAAAAATATTTAGAAACTTAATTTTATCAATAAATTCAAATAATTTTTAATGTTATCTTTATAACTGTATTAAAAATACAATATCATAGTTTTACTTTTTCACTACTTTTATCAAATATGAACATCTATCATGGTAAAAATAATAAAATGCAAACATGTATGGAAAAAATATAAAATATTTCTTAAAATTATCAAATGCCTTAAGCCTGCTTGGAATGAGGAAAATGGTAAAAAAAAAGAAGAGAAGGAAAAATTTTAACGAATTTGTTTTTAAAAAACTGAATAAGTTGGGTTGTAAAATTTTGATAAAAAGAAAATATAAGATAAAAAGTAAGAAAAATTAATTAGAAAATCTTAACCCTATTTAAAAATTTTGTTTGAAAGCGAGCTTACTAAATTTTTTTCTCATTTTCTCTTCCCTTAATTTCCCTCATATCAAACAGAGCCTTATAAAAAATAAACAGAAACTTGTCCTATAATATAAATAGGTGAGAGCATATTATAAGAAGAAAACTATTGCAATAGTTTTTCTTAAAAGAAATTGATACAATAATTTATAAATGTTTTTCATCAAAATACCAATCTTAAAAAAGAAAATAAAGAACTATTTTATTCTCTCAAATACTTTGCAGGAGATTTAGTCAAGACAAATAGAGTTAATATATCTAAAAATAAAAAGGGAAGGTAACGGAGGGATGAATTTATCTAAAAACAAAAATAAAAGCCAACGCATATATAACAATAATTTGGTTGTATACATCTACTGAATTAGAGGTAATTTTGTTCAAACAACGATGGAACATAATATGAAGTTCATTCTATCGCACAATCTTAAAAATGGCCTAATATTCCACCACCACCGTTGATATTTAGCAAACGCATTCCGGGGAGAAAAAAAAAAAAAAAAGGCTTATGGTCAATTTTTCCCTTCCCAGGAGCGTCATCTCATTCCTCATGTCCCAGATAATATACATTTTCCATCTGTATCCCATTCTTTACATCAACCTCTGCTTCTTTACCTCTGTATCTTGTCGGAAGCCTCGGGTGATCTTGGTCATTACTTTTGACGGCGTAAATAATCACGGACATAAGGATGCACCTCCATTTTGACCACCATGTGCATCTTCTTTGAATCTTCCCACAACAAACCGTTCCATTCTCGGGCACAGTCACAGGCACCTTCAAATACATCCTGCCCACAAATGATACGAAGAATAAGATTTGAAGGGATTATTAAGTATACGAACTCAAAGGATGCTAAATTTCTACCCTTGAAGGGAACTCATCGTAGTAATATGCTTCAGTCATCTCAACTCTGTTCAGATCAGATTCCCAAAGCCTAATCTGTCAAGCCATTCATTAAACTCAGTCAGGCATCAGAAAATATAACTAATACTGCAACAAAAGAATCCACGAAACGTAGAAGCCATAGAACTAAGTTATTTAATCCTACAGCCGATCTCATTTATTGAAAATCAAAACCTGATCGGTGACATTTTCTGGTACAGTTGGTATTCTCTCTGCAACTCTTGGATGAGCATTCTGCTGAAGGAAACTGATTATCTGCCCAAAAAAGAAAAACAGGTTTATCTACAAAGAGATCAATGAGACAAGTTCCTGAAAGCCAACCGAAAGCCAACGGTAATTACTTTGGAAGTACAGTGAAAGGGAGCAAAGTAGTAAACAGTACTGCCCATATGATCCCTCCATTACAATGCACTGCATTTTATGGGGCGGCAAATGAGTTTTAAAGGCATGTCAATCCCATTTTCAGTGGCTGTTAACGTATGTCTTGCACAAAAAACCAAGCTTCTAGAAAATAAACGAAATTCAAGTATTTAACTCTGGATAGGATTTATCACGAACCTTTTCTTTTCGAAAATTTACCATGTTCCCAGAGCAAGACCTTAACAAGAGCTTGGTCCATATGATATTCTAGAATTCTATCAGAGAATGATGGTACAGGAAACTCAAGGAGTACACAAACTAATATTTTACTGGACATAACTGAGATACTCAGCAAAAAAGTAATAAAATAAAGATACCAACAAATCTAAAGCTTTTTGCTTCGTACAAGGTATACATGA